ACTCCCAACCCAGCCAGCCTATCCAGAAGGACACCATGGTTGATGGTATTGAAAGCCGCTGAGAGGTCCAGGAGTATCAACAGGGTCACACTCCCCCTGTCTCTCTCCCGGCAAAGGTCATCGTACAAGGCGACTAAGGCAGTTCTCCGTGCCAAAACCCACCCTGAAACCTGACTGAAATGGATCCAGAAAATCTGTTTCATCCAGCAGTGCCTGGAGTTGCCCAGCCACAACCCGCTCCAACAATTTGCCCAAATAAGGGAGGTTCGCTACTGGTCGGTAAACCACCAGCCTTGGGTCCAGGTTAGGCTTTTAAAGGAGTGGTCGAATTACTGCCTCTTTCAAGGTGGTAGGGACCACTCCCTCTCTCAAAGAGGCGTTCACAGCCTCCTGGACCCTGGTGTGAACCCCCCTGGAAGATCTTCCAGTTAGCCAAGATGGGCAAGGGTTGAGAGGAGTGGTGGTAGAATGGACAGATCCAAGCACCCTGTCCACATCCTGAGGTCTGAACAACTGAAACTCATCCATTAAAACTTGACCTAAGCACGGCACACTGGACATATCCTCTGATTCTGCACTAATGGTGGAGTCCAACCCACTGCAAATCTGAGCCATTTTTCCCTCAAAATGAACGGCAAACTCATCACAGTGAATTGATGAGCGGTCCGGGACTTCCACTGGATTTCCTGGTTGAAAAAGGTCCCGTTAGTAGTGGTTCAAGTCTTAGATAAATTTAAAAGGGGGGGGACCTTTACAACAGTTCACAATTGCCCAGTTAAGGATTAAAATAAATACTTAGAAGAAAATATAGATGAGAGTCACAGAAACACAATGGAAATGAGCATGAGAAATGAACATCTTCACATGCCTATCTATTTTCGGCTCTACTTCTGCAGCATCGTCTGCCTATGGAATTCCATGAGAGCTTTAACTTGTGTTGTTTGTGAGTGAGTGCATGTCTATGTATTTACAAAAAGGCCATTAAGAGATATGTCGCATATTTTTGGACTGTTACATATCAGTTTATATTTTACATTCCATGAAGCATTGGAATAGTTTGCATTCTTTTTCCTACTGGAGTCAAAGTCAATTTAAATTTAGGGTTCTGTCTGTGGTTTATAGTACATTTGTTTCCTATTGTTAGACATCCTGCTGGAATTCCATTAAGCCTGAAAGTTATTCTTGAGTGCTTCTCAAGAATCTAACTACTAAGCAGAGTGTTGATGCAGCATCCCATGTCTTTTGTAAGGAAGGCCTTCCAAGAATCAAACAAGGAACCCAAGAATTTACATGAAGACAAAAGAATTTTCACATTTAAAAATATAATATTCAAAATGTTCCTTGCAAACCCTGTGTAATTAGTGTAGCTTGACTATTCACTGCTAATTGTTGTCTGCCATTATGGAGTCTGAGCACTCATAAATCAGCCAATGCATTTGGTTTTAATTACTGAGTGAGTTGTTATTATACAGATACCTACATGATTATTATAGAAAGTGCTTAAGCAATAGAAAGTGTTTTAAGTGTTCTTTAACATTCTGGGTTAAATACCATTTACAGCTTAGAACAGAACTCTTCCTGAAGTCTGTTTTATTAGGAAATATATAATCCTATCTGTTAGTTAGGTAACTTTGTTGCACTCTCCACTTTCACCCAAGTAATGTGAAATATTGTCATGTAAATGAAAAATGTAAAATTAATTTTTTTTCAGAGATAAAAGTGTGAGAAATTTGATTTTTTAATCAAATTCTTGGTGAGCACATGTGGAGGCTGCAGTGTCGTTGAGACTCCATGAGAGGAAAATGGAAAGCCATGCGCGGCTGCTATTGTTATTGTTGTTATGAGCTCTCAAGTTGCTTCTGTCTTACCGTCTCCATTTGGTCTGTAGTTAGGATTTTGGTCTTCTTAACGTTCATCTACAGTTCTATTTTAGCACTTCCTTCTTTCAATTTCAGTACCAATTGTTCGAAGTCGTTGCTGCTTTCTTTCAGTAAGACGGCGCCTGCATCTGCATAGCTTAAATTATCAATGTTTCTTCAACCAATTTTCACATCTGAGTCTTGTTTGGGATTCCGTATATGTTCTGCATACAGATTGGACAGATGAGGGGATAAAATGCAGCCTTGTCGAACACGTTTCACTATAGGAAATAATTTTGCCTCTCCATATGATCTCCTAAAAGTAGCTTCTTGTCCACAATACAAATTACGTATGAAGAGAATTAAGTGCTGAGGCACACCCATTACTTTCAGAACAACCCATACTGTTTGATAATACAAACAATCAAAAGCTTTGTTGTAGTCTATAAAGCATAGGCTGAAACTTGTTGGTGCTTTCTAGTAGCCAGCAGATGTTTGCAATATGATCTCAAGTGCCTCTTCCTTTTTGAAATCCAGCTTCAACATTAGGCATTTCATGCTCCATATAAGGAAAACACCTTTGTTGCAACACTTTGAGCATCCCTTTGCTTCCATGAGAAATTAAAGAAAGACTCTTATATTTATGTTTTGGCATCTACTTTCTTAGGGACTAGAATATATAGTGTTTCCAGTCTGTGGGATTTTGTTTTGTTTTCCATATTTGTTGACAAAGTCTCATTAGAATGTTGATAGATCCAATCTCTGTGGCTTGAAACAGTTCTATTTGTATTCCATCTACCCCTGGTGATTTATTACATCCAAGTGCTTTCACTTCACTTTCTAGACCTGCAAGTTCCTCATCATCCATCATCCTTTTGTCCCTTCCATATAGGTTGCTTCTATACAGGTCTTTGGCATTGAACTGGGTCCTCTGTGTCACATGATTCATCAACTGTTCCTCTAACTGTATTACAGATGTCTTCCAAGACAGAACATGCCATTTGCACTTTTACTCAGTGTTTAGCCTGGACAATGCTAGGAATTTGAACTTTAATGTTTTTGCAGTTTCTTCTAATAGTATAGAGGATGGACTCTGCTCCTCCCCATTTTTAATGAATAACACCGCCACCTTTGTCTCTATGGAACAAATCTCTTAGTCTCCACAAAGTGGGATGAGAAATGAGAAAACATTATTTCATATTTCCCCTACAGGATCATATACAACATGTTAAATCTTGCCTGTGCTGTTACCATAATATGCACCAATCTGTATTTACTATGGCTGTTCCTCTTGTCTCTGTGGCATGTACACCAGGCATGACTGGGAATTTCAGCAGCACCTGCATTAGAATATTCAGCACTGTCTTGGATTTTGATGAAATTGGGATTAAATTGCATAAGCATTAAATAGTTTCACTGGAATTCATGGCATCTTGTCAGGAATTCATGAACCAACTGGGAAGCCGTCGGGGTAGTCAGTAGTCATGGCAAGTGAATACAAGTGAGAACCAAAAAGACTGTGGAGGTAAATCCTGATTTGGTTCATCCTTATTCCATTTCTGGAAAACATGCTTTATCAGAAATGGTGTGGAGCATTGCCTTCTTGCATGCAGTAGCAAACATAGTATCACTGAATGGGCTACTCGGAGCCTGAACGGATCCTTGTGGTGCAGTGGTTAAACTGCAGTACTGCAGTGAAGACTCTGCTCATGACCTGAGTTTAATCCTAATGGAATCAGGTAGCTGGCTCAAGGTTAACTCAACCTTCCATCCATCCTTCTGAGGTCAGTAAATTAAGTACACCGCTTGCTGTGGGGGCAATGTGTAACCTGCACAATTCAATTGTGAACCACCCAGAGAGAGAGAGAGAGAGAGAGATTTAAGCACTGTGGAGAAATATATAAGTATATAAGCAGCACACTTTACTTTGCTTTATTTGCACTTTTTTGCAGCACACTTTGCTTTGTTTTGCTTTATTTGCACTTTTTTTAAATCAACCAGCCTGTCCTTTTCTGCTTGCTATGTGCAAAAGTTTTGCACTGAGACATTTTGCACAAAGCGTAGAAACCACAACAGGGGAAAACAATACTCCTTGTCTTGCTCTCAGGCTGGGGATGATAATTCTTGGCAGGGGATGAAGAATCTTTGCCATGGCTTCTTGTTCTTTCAAGATGGCCTGCCACAATCAAAATCAAAGCGATAGCAAGATTGTATCTACAAAAAGGGGGAGTTTGCAAAGGACAGCCAAAAGTCAGAACCAAATAATAACCCAAAGAAGTAGGAATGTACAAGAGCTGAAGTAGACCTCAGGCATGGCTCAGGTGCAAGAGGAACATTTTTCAGAGTTCTTCTTGCTGAAGATCCAATAATGTGTGGTTGTCAGTGTGAGTGCAAACCTGTCATGGCCCACAGGCTGCCCCAGCTTGACTAATGTGTATTTGTGCCTCGGATCTTTTAACTGGAAGAACGGTGGCATACGATTAAAAAAAAATAGCCAATAATATTTAACATAGTACACTTTTATGTACATTTATTGTACATAAATAAATCTGTGTATATTACAGACACATTTATTGAACATCATAGACTTGGGTGCGTGAATCAAACTTCAGGCTTGTAAATCTATGGTGTTCTAATGATACATTGCGCTGGGGGCCCCATTCAGCTCAGAAACAGATAAAGCCACTTAGCAAATTTGGGTCAAAAACTAACTAAAGCAATTCTCCTATTCTTTTCCTCAGCAGGACAGGATTTTCCATTTTGGCCTTTGAGAAGACCTGGCAATTGTTCCATAATTCAGCATGAGATGAAAACAGGTCTGGATGTCAGATGTTAGCTTTTAACTACTAATAACAATTGTCCAGAAGCCCTCATTGTACACATCTGCGTCCATCTACCATATATGAATGCAAGTGTTTCAATTTGCTTGTCAGTGTCCGCTAACTCACTTGGAAATTTTCTACACATTTTAGCTATATCTCACTGTAGCCAGTTCTGTGGGACAACAATAATGCCGTTAGAGGCATTTTTTGCTTTGCTCTTTATATAACAGACTTTCCATTTCAGGGGAAACCATTTCAAAAGTGTCATTTTTCCGAGAAAGTGCGAGACAAGATAACATGACACAGGTTGTCCGGATTTGTAGAAGCAGCAGGGGAAGATTGTTAGGACTGGAACAAAACAGTCCTGCACCAAATGTTTCTCTTCCTATTTTCCAACACTTTCTCAAGAAAAAAAACAGAGCCCAGAATGGACTTGTGAAGAGTGAACCAGGCCTGAATCTTAATTGCTGGTGCGAAGTGTGGATGCGTGTGCACAAGGCAGAAAATGTAGCTTATCCCCAATTTCAGAGGTGTCTATGAGTTCATCCCTTTGCTTTTTCTTTGTCAAAAATTTGCTGCTGTTCGTTTGTCTGAGTAAGATAAAGTATTATATCTGAGACTCTCAGGACTAGCCCATAGGCAGTAGTTTGTCTTGGAGACGTCAAGAAGGACGAAAACGCAAGACCAAAGCATAACAAAGCATGCAAGAATATGCCATAACAGGCAACCATTTCATGCTCATTTCTGCCTAGAAGAGTCCAGTGAACAGAATCCATACATTCCTTTCCAAATACCTACTTTTTGATTTATCCAGTTCTGAGAACAAAACTTATGTCCACCCAACGTGGGGCTCGTGGTGCAGTGGTTAAACTGCTGTACTGCAGCCAAAACTGTGCTTCTGACCTGGGGTTCAATCCCACGTAACCGGTTCAAGGTTGACTCAGCCTTCTATCCTTCCGAGGTCGGTAAAATGAGTACCCAGCTCGCTGGGGGGGGGGGGCAATGGGGG